GCACTGGGTGTCCCAGGCCAAGGTACGCCTCAGCAATGGTCCAGAGTTATGTGAAGGGTGGTGGGAGACCAGGTGTGGTCATTCTCTAGAGGACTGCCAAGGGCAGGAGGCACCCCGTGCAGCCGCACTGGGCCTGGAGCAGGCAGGAGAGTAGGTGGGATGCCAGCTCCAGTGACTGAGCAGGAGGCTCTACTAAGCACAGGATGAAAGTGCATGGGGGTCTGCCCTCAAAAGGATCGCTGTCTGTAGGAGGCCAAGCTGCCCAGACCAGCATGGGCTCCTGGGGAAGCAGAGCTAAGAGTTCCTGCAAGCAGGTGTGGCCTGCCCTGGGTTTAACTTTTGTGCTTGGAGACCCCCTGAAGGAGACTTGGAAGCTGTGACTGTCGCTTGTTCTAGCTTACATACCATTTTTCTTTTTGTCTTTTCAAACTGTCCATTCCCAGCTCGTTGTAAGTATTAACCATTTTGAAGCACAACATTTAGAGCAGACTTTTCAGTGTGTCCACTGGAATCAAAATGCATTTGCAACTTGACACTCATTCTGGTCCACTTAGAAAGGACCGAGCAAGCTGCCCCTTCATGGCTGGACGCTCTTATTCCTCCTTCCCCTGGAGCTTTGCCCACAGAAGTCTATGCAGTGCAAAACGTATTGGGTGGAAAGTTGACATCACAGACAGCCTGTTCTCTGGGGCACGTGATGGGGTCTGCGCCTGCCTTCCCCATAGCTGTGCCACCAGGCATGAGGCTTTGGTCCCGGAAGAATGAGCAGAAATGACCTAGAGGCACAAAGCTGTCCCACTGGGATGGTGGCCTCTCGTCCCCAGAGTGAGGGGACAGATGGGGACAGCGCTCCCAGCCAACCCAAGATCAGTGTGGGCTGGAAAAGAACCCTGTGCTGTTTTAAGCCACTGGGGTTGTTGATTCCTGCAACTGACCCTTCTCCCTCCCCCTCTGCTCTTCTCCAGACAGATATGTGTATACATTGAGGCAGTCATTTGTTTTTACGATTATTATTTTTTTAGTAATCTCTACACCCAACATGGGGCTCAAACTCACAACCATGAGATCAAGAGCTGCATGCTCCTCCAGCTGAGCCCACCAGGCGCCCTGAGGCAGCCATTCATTTTGATTTGTGAAATCGTAAGACTGAACTTAGTGACAAATTCACCTGGATTGTTGTTCTTGTAGTTACTTAAGTACTTAATCAGGATGACACGCATGTGTTGTAGACCTTCATAAGTAAACATGGAAGTCAACTTGAACTGGAATGGCATTGCCTAACGAGTTGTCCATCCGTCTTCATGGGAGAGCACGGTTTACAGCTGGAATGAGGGTCCATCATCCCATTTCTTTCTGGTTTTGGCTTCACAGACATAGAGCAGATTAAAAGCTTTGCTCCAGGGGCGCCTTGCTGGCTCAGTCGGTGGAGCGGGTGACTCGATCTCAGGGTTGTAGGTTCGACCCCCACGTTGAGTGTAGAGATTACTTAAAAGGGGAGGCGCCTGGGTGGCTCAGATGGGTAAGCGTCCAACTCTTGACCTTAGCTCGGGTTTTGATCTCGGGGTCATGAGTTGAAGGCCACATTGAGCTCCACACTGGGCGTGGAACCTACTTAAAAAAAAAAGTTTGCTACAGCACTTAGTCTTTCAAAATCTCTTCATGTGTCAAAAGCCACATGCTAATGTGTGACCACAGGAAAGGACAAGCGGCTCCCCAGTGTGGTCCTCCCTGGACACAGGATTTGGAAAGAGTAGCCCTCCAGTTCAGCCTGGGCACGCCAGCCAGCTGTGAGGAGTGTGGTAGCCCCCATTCTCCAGCCCTTCTGCACATTCCCCTGGGGAGAGAACGAAGGAGAGAGGGCCGGGCTCCAGGTCTCTACAGGGTTTGAGCCCTGTGTGGGGTGTCATCAGAGACCACTTCTCACCACTCTGCTCTGGCCCCCACCCAGCCCCACCCAGGCCGCTCTCTGGGAGTAACAATGACATTTAAGACAGCAGCTGCAATGGGGATGGCAAGGGTGCACGGTCCACAGTGCAGCCTCAGCTCTGCCAGGGTGTTGCCTCTGTTGGATGGGAAGACAGGGGCCTGGCCTTTCTTACGGAGCATGGGCCATCAGGGTCCCAAGCACCACTGTACTCCAGAGGCAACTCCACAGCCTGCCAGTGCCCATAGGCCAACTCCGTGATCACATGGAGACTAGCAGTGTTCCTCTGCACCAGACTAACCAGCTGAAATGGGGTGCTGTGTACAGAGGAACAAAAATTAGATGTGTCTAGGACATAACAAGCCTATGCAACAACATTTGAGGGTTTACTACAGGATATAAAGAAGATCTCGATAAATGAAATATACTATGTTCATGGAAGGGAGAACTTCACATACAATTGTACAGATTTCCGTTGTCCCCAAGCTAATATACATTCAAGGCAATCTCAATATTCCAGCTAGATTTCCTTTTAGGAAACCTGACCAGTCTTTCTAAAATGTATACGGAAAAGTAAAGGTCATGAATACCTAAATCACTATTGAAAAAGAGGAAAGGGGTACCTGCCCATCCACGTATTTGGTGTACTGCAAAGCCATTACAAGGACAAACCCATTCCAGATGTGGTGATGACATCTGGTGGTCTAAGAAAGGATATGTTGCTTAGTCAAAGTGTTGGGAAAAGACACCTCATCTTATGGAGAAAAACTAAGCTGCATTTCTACCTCCATGCATGGTCTTCCAGCTAAAAGGGTATCTGCTAGATGAGTAATACCACCTATGGAATTTGCTTGGGTTCGATCTTCTTGGAGAGTCATCTCCTGAAATCTCCGCATTAGAGATCACCAATTCACCCCAACACAGAAACAAAGCACATTTCAATGTGTCTGCTTACAGGCCACAGAAGAATGTGGAGGATACACCGTCTTTCTCCTAGAGCAACACCAGGATGCCTTTGTGACGTTGCAAACAAAACCACAAACCATGTGGGGGAAGAAATGATGTTAAGGATTTCTGTCCAGATGCCATGGACAAACCCAACAGACAGAAGGACTTGAAGGAGCCCATAAGCAGATTAACAAAGAGGCTGATGTAAGTCCAAGACCTCCTGCAAATGAACCACAGACAGGAGCTCTCAACACGCGGAGGCTTGAACGGGCAGTAAACCCACCGGTAATCGGAAAAGGGCAAACTGAAAACACTGAAACCACATTGCCGCCCTTAGGACGGCAGATACCAGAAAGCAGATGATGCCAAGAGCTGGGAATACTATGGGGATAGAACCTCTTTTTCATGGTGGAAGTGTGGTCCAGCCTTTCTGGAAAGCAACCCAGAAGGTGCCCCCAGTGGTACCACTCTGGGGGTTCCCAAAGGGCCTTAGGGATGTCCATGCCATTATGGGGGGGGCATCTGGGACAGCTGGGGAGTGTCTGGATTATCTGGGGGGGGGGTCTGGGTTTATAGGGGTGTGGCTGAGTTCTCTGGGGGCAGCTGGGTTTGGGGGAGTTAGGTTGTATGTGGGTGTCTGGGTTATGTGGGGGCATGTGTAGGTCTTCTGGGGGGTCAGCTGGGTCGTGCAGAGGGTGTCTGGGTTTTGCGGGGAGCCGCTGCATTATCTGAGGGGTGGGAAATTGTAGGCCGCCCAACTGCCTCAGTACGTAGTAGACCAGTAACACCCGCTGGAAGCCAGGGGTGGGCATCATTCAGAAACATACCTGAATCTTTAAAAGCATAGAGACCCTTAAGAAAGGTGAAGAAAGGCAAGGTGCGGAGCGTGACTGGCTCACCCTGGTGGCTCAGGACCTGTAAATATGGTGCCCAAGACATAGGAATTGTTGAATGAAGTTAAAACTGCAACCACGCTAAATATTTCACAAAGATAGCACATGTATATCCCATAATAGTGGGAAGGGGACCAGCCATGAAAGAAAATGAAAAAATGATGAACCACAGAGGGTCTTGCAGGCAGCGGGGCTTGAAGGTGGTGACTGCGCTCTGCGCCTGAGACCAAACCCAGAGAAGTGTGTGCGCGGTTGTTCCGGAGGACAACAGCGGGAATGGTGGGGCGTGGGGCGTGGGAATGGAGGGGATGAAGGTCAGGAAGGTGGCAGGGAGCCCGGGCCAGACGCACCCCAGAGCCCACCCCGGAGGCTGGCACAGTCCAGCCCCCAGCGTGTCTGTCGCTTGAGGCAAAGGGAGGAGTGAGTGAGGTGGGGAGGCGGTGCAGGGCGGAGTAGGAAGCGGGGCACGGGAATGATGGGGGGCCCTGGCGCTGGGGGATGGGAAAGACGCCCCACAGTGTCCGCGGGCCGTTGCCCCAAACTCGGGGGGTGCTGCCCAGTCCCCCGCGTGCGTCCGAGCGCCCACCGCAGCAGCGTCCAGGCTCCGGGCAGGGAAGTGGTGGAGGCGGCAGGAGGCGGGACGAGGAGACCCCTCCTCGCCGGGGCGGCTCCCGCGACCACTAGCCGGGCGAGGGGGCCCGCGCTCGGCCTCCCCCTCCCTCTCTCCATCTTGAGGAAGAGGAGGAGGGGCCCGTC